GACACCCGCGACGCCGGGCTGGGCTCGGGCAACAACCGAAAGCGACGGCCCGACCAGGCAGAGGCGCCCTGCCCGAGGAAGCCCCGCCTCAAGGGCTGCACCGAACCCTGTTCCCTCCACTTGAAGCCCCTAAACCTTTGCGAAACCGAGGGCCTGGGCACTCCGGCTTTCCGGTTGATCTTCTTCATGTACCCCCAGCTCATGCCAATTCACCTGCATGCAGACTAGCCTGTCCTGCAAGGCTGATCTCTGCTAGGTGACAACACAGCCGGCACATTGTGTTTAATTTAAAGCTCGGCTTGCAGAGAAGCACTTCTGTGAAATCTGGAGTGTAAATCAAGAGGCGGTAATCCAGGTAAGTGGTCTTTTTAGGACTGGTTTTGTCCCCAGTGCCACCCAGGGCAGCCCTGCTTATGGTGTTGCCCCACCCCACCGTTAGCAGGAGCAAAAGATGTCTCCATGGAAACACATAAATTAGGGAGACATTTCCTCATTCTGATGGACGTATTCCAAAGTACCATGTCCCTACACAGTGCTCTCATCCCCAGCTGAACCGTCACATTCATGCTACCTTCTAGACAGGGAAGCCAATCTACTGCTAACATGGCTTATAAATAGCTTTGTATTCTGCAGGTTGGAAGTGTTAAATGCAGAGGTGTCACAGCCACAAGAGAGAAGGGACAATGAATTTGAACATGACAGTACTAGTATTTACTTCAAAAGCCTGTGCATTTGATGAGTTGCTCGGGAGCCAAATTTCACAGCCCTTAGTGAGGGCATGGGGGTGCTGCAAGGCAGAGCTGTGTGATTCCTGAATAGATCCTCATAGGACTGGTGAGTCACAGAGTGTCACAGAATCACAGATTTTATCATCTCATGTGACACATAGTGCTTCAGGATGTCTTCTCCTGACCTTCATCCTCGTCACACACTCCCAGCCTGGAAGTAGTGACAACCCACCCATTTGAAATCAGCCTGCTTAGAAACTAAACTAGTGCATTTGTGTGATTTTTCACAGCAAAAGACTGGACAATGACAAGTGATTGGTTTGTTTCACAGGCTTGACTGTGCACTTCAGACACTACTCTTTGTAAGCCTTTCACATGGACACTTAATTCACAGGGACTACTCTACCCCTGTGCAATGGGAGGCTTCCCTGTCTTCCTCTCAAAATCTGGTGAAAGTTGTTTCCAAGTTATCAGGGGTTGAGAATAGCAGTTAGGCAATTTCTAGCTCTCATGTGAAGGCACCACCATTCTTCAGTTATCACAGTACTGTACCTTTCACGTATACAGCACCGGTACCATGATAACCGAAAAAGGACAGTTCATAAGTCTTATTATTTGATGCCATTGTCAGATAAACAACCCTCCCTCCATCTGATTAAAGGAAAACTATTCAGGAATAGCTGTGATCTAGTCAATCACTTGTCAATCTGATAGAGTAAATTAAATTTTTGATACTGGATGCCCTTCCCCTAACCTGTGTGTTGTAATTAGCAGTGTAAGAAATTTAGGCTTTCTCTATCCTCTGAACCACTACCAGCCACAGAAAAAAACTAAAAATTGAGACTGAAGGACTAGATAGAAATCCACTGCCTGACAGGGCAAAAGTTTTGGTGTTGCACACACCTCCATGAATTGAACTCTTAAACTGCTTCCTATGCACAGTCACAGCTTTAGTGTCTGGCTATCTATTTGAAACATGCCATGTCATGCCACAGCAACAGAGAGATTACTAGGAAAACACGGTAGTGTACATAGGCAACAAAAAGCAAACTGATGCACACATAATCAAAGACCAAGAACCAAGAATAAACGCCATCTCTGCAATTCTGAGAACCAGGAATAACATAGAACAGTAAGGGAATCATCTTCTAACACGTAGAAATAAACACTAGGTAACTTACACCACCTGTCTCATTCGAAGATGGCTACAAGTCATTCTATTCATAGCCACAAGAAAAGCCTTCTATTTACAAAAAATATCTGTGCAATCGAACTAGCGAATTAAACACGACTGGGCAATTAAACTGAACAAAACAACTTACGTGTATGGAGACAGAGGTCCTAACAGGACTTTGGAAACATCCCGTTGTCCAAGGGTCATGAGCAGCAGAGCAAGGCTCTGATTTGTTGAATCTACACAGCCTCCCTGCAAACCAAAATGTTTTAATAATTAATCTCTGTACAAACCAGAAATTGCGATGGGAGGACAGTAATGAAGGAGGCAGACAGACTTAGAAGGATGAACTACTGCTCCCAATTTTCAAGGGGCAAAAAAAGATAAAAATCTGGATTTTGTTACAATGACAAATTAATTTCACATGACAGGATGGGAAAGGAACAGAACTAAAACAAAACCCAGTAACAAGGTCACATTAAAGATCCATTCCATCTTTTCCAGCCTGTTCTCTTCTAACAGGTTAAGAAGTTAAGCACTGAAGAATTTATGTGCAGTAAACTGAAAATAGGTATTAATTACAGTTCATGTGCATTTGAAGATATCATGAATTGCAGCACTTTTTAACTATGAAGTTACATTCAGACAAAAAGTTCAGTGTTAGGAGGCACCAAAGAGCAAGTTAAAAGTGTTTTCACATATATCCACCTAAGCCCTTGCTGCTAACTTTTGTGGTTTTGCATTTGTAAAATATCTCCCCCAGATTTAAAATGGAAAGATTATTTTTATTGATATGTGAAAGTCATACATAAAATTATGCAGAATTACACATACTCTTGTACATATTTGACTGTAGTAAATCATACATTCATGGAGTAGTTTTTGTGTGTGGAAAGTGTTAACTACAGTGCATATGTAAATAAAAATTGAAAGCTTTCCTCATTTACAAAACTTGAATGTAAATTAAAAGGCATACCTTCAGTCAGGACTCCTGTAGAGAGAATCTACCAACTATTACTACATAAACACATTGAAAATAGAAAAAATATCTGGCATAACATTGTTTTAGGCATTCATCCTGATCTACAGCCACATCTGTCAACAGTTTCCTGGTGGATGAGGCCTAATGCTAAGCTCTGAATAGGCTCTCTGCAGAGAGGAAAACTAGAAATTCAACCTTTTAAAACCAAATTCTCTAATGAGGTAAACTGACAGTTACGTTTGTGGGCAAGGAGTGACCTGTCATTGTTTTAAGAGGTAATACCATCCAAAAAGGCAAGGGAGGGGCAAAATAAATTTTGGACTACATAAAGAGAACAGCCTGATGTGACAACTTCGGTACATTTACTCAGTGAAAGGGCAGAAAGGAAGACCTTTCCAAGGAGAGGTACTGCACGTTTAATTTCAAGATGGCTGTGCTTCAGTGAGACAAGTCTCAGCTCCGTTCTTCTGAAAAAAGCCTCTGTGCTTAATGCAACAAATGATATACTACAATGAAGGAAACATCCTCATTATGTTCACTCCCATGACCTAACTCCTAGCAACATGCTCTTACAGCAGTCCTTGCCCTTTCAACTGCCATACCAAAGTGAAGTTCACGCACTCAAGCTAATGCTCTCTATGAGACTGATAAAAATTGTGCTTTATCTTGAGTGAACAGGGTACCTGCAGAATTTGCTGGTGCAGTCTAGAGCCACAGCTCTCAGCAGCAGTATTTGCCTATCTGAAACACATACAAGAAGCAGATGAGTTTGTAAGGATTCCTGATGCAGGACTTCCTGTATTTGTAGTTCAGTTAATAATTCAAAATGCTCTTTGTCACTTGGATGAAAACTTTACATTTTCTGAGCTTGTTTTTGTTTTTCTAAAGCTGAAAACATTATAAAACGTCTATTTTTATGACCAAATTTATACAAAAGCTTCAATCAGCATGGAAACAACCACATCCTAAACAATATAGCAAAACATGATGCATCCATCATGTCCTAGCTGCTTACATAAGCTCTCTCACTGCAGTGAGTCAGTCGCCCCCACTATTGTTGTGCATTAGCAATGCACTGTTATGCCCATTCCCACATAGGCAGTTGCCAGACTGGGAAAATAAGTGATTTGCTTGTAATCTAATGATGACAGAACAGTAACTTGTGCCAAATGAAGGACATGCCACTCCCAAGGAGGCCAACTTTTTTCTCTCAATCCACCTGGCCACTTACTCAAGAGCCCCAAAATCAGAAACAACCCTCCCAAGAGAAATGGGATGGGCAAAGTCAGAGCCAAATTACTGACATTTGTTCCAAAATAACTGGCACACATTACCACCCTAGGATGCAGCTTCTAGTCCATATTAATTCAGTTTATGGCAGTTTCTTCATTATTGTTTCCATTGACAACAGCACCAGATCCAACCGGATGTGACAATTGAAGACACATATCTCTTAGAACCCCATCCATTCTGAAACATTCTTAAACAAGTATCACAGTTGACATGCACACACAAATATCACAACTCTGGGTATTGGACAACAGCGTTTTGAAGAGGGTTATTCGGAGCTTGACCCCAGTTTTGATTTAGTCTTGGTTATATTTTGGCAATATACAATTTCCTCCCTTACCTGTATGGTACTCACGCATGCCTCAGTAATTTGTTATGTGAATTGCAAAGGATTTTTGTTTGGTTTGGTTTTAGGGTTTTGTTGTTGTTGTTGTGTTTGGTTTTTTTTCCAGAAGAATGGAGCAGAGCCTTGCCATGCTGAAGTAAGGCCATTTTGAAAATTAAACCTTCGATGAAATGCTTCACTCATTTTAGCTCTAGTTAAGTAAAACAGCCTTCCCCCTCCTGCCCCTCCAAGTCCCCCTAACAACTCACCCTTTCTTCATTAAACAACTCACCCTTACGTAAGTATTGTGTCCTCCCCATTTTTTATGATCATACAAGGAATACAAATGTTCAATCCTTTTCCAGTTCTTTCAGGCCTTTCCATCCTGCCAATCACCTGCTATATGAAGCTCCCATAACCAATGCCTTTCACAGACAAGAGGAAAATCCTTATTGGCCTTCTACAATTAAGCTTAGGTAAGAACTACATACGCATTTGTAAAGACAATGCTAGCCAGTCACTCCGTGCCCCCTTCTTTAAGGGCCACTGTAATTAGCAATGTGCCACTTATTATTAGTCAATTAACTTCACTATCTTTCCATCAACTTCAAAAAAGCTTCATTGATTCAAAAGAATCTTACAGTCTCATTTATTTTTGAGGGCTTAGTAAAAGGGACCATTTAGCACTTCAGACAGCAAGACTCAAATCAAGCAAGCACTTTAAGAGATGTCCCTGGACCCCTTTAAACTGTAATAAACTTCAGCAGATTTGTGGGTGACCCTAACAAGTAAAACCCTTCTACAGAGAATCATCATCTCCCATAGTCCCAGGATGCCCCTTTCTGGTCCTGGCTCCTGCAGCACTTTACCTACAGGCAAAGAGACAGATGGAGAACCAACCTCATAAAGAGAAGATCTAAACACAGGGAGAGAAATTGTCCCGTGAGCCCTATACTGAGTGACTAGGTGGTGTAAAGAGTGGGACTTAAAGAGTGCCTATTCAGAGCCTATTCTTGCTCCATGCACAGACATCATATCTAGGCAAAGGAACTTAAAAAAATAGTATCTTCTAAGTAAACAAACATTGCATGCTTTGCAACATGTTTTTATATCCTCTTTGGGGTTAACACTAGATCAAAATGACTTAAGTTCCAACAAACAAAAAATCAATGAGAAAGCCCATTTTTCCAAATTCCTGGCTAGCACTGTGTGAGTGTACTTGTCATACATAAATTCAAGTGTGCATTCTGAAAACTACTGAACAAAACCCACCATACTGCCTACGACGGAGGGAGCGGAGAATTCATGAACAGAGAATAAGGACTCCACTGAATAAGCAGCACAATAGCAAAAAATGCTCACAAACAAGAACTCTTCCACTGTGAGCTGCTGCAGTGGAGGACAACAAGCAGTTTGTATGCTGCTCAGCAATTGTCAGTCACTCTTGGACTGAAGCACCCCTCACATAAAAGAGTCTTCCAGGAGAATCAGTGGTATTACGGCAGGCCACAGCTAATAACCTAACGCAGAATCTGACCCTCGAGGCCACTGAAAGCTCATGGTCTATCACTTTATCATTCAAAGACTTGCTTGATGCTGCTTTCTCCTCAAATGCTTTTCTTCTGTTGTCCTGAGATCCCATCCTGTTGTTTTGTAGAATATGACTCATCACATTCAAATAGCTGCAGTATACTAAAGCAGAAAATTACCTGGTTCAGGCCTTTTCAGCCCTCTGCATTTTGGAAGATCTCCGACATCTGATTCTGAAGAAAGTATAGTATCTGGACAAATTCTCTCACTAGTTTAAATCTATCAAGTGCTAGATGGTTTCCAAAGGAAAAAAAACCAAAACGACACAACCTATTGCTGCTGATAAAAGTGTATGAAAAGTGGATTTTCGGTGCCTCCAATCATCTGACTACCTGAAGATGTTCTGCAGAAGGTTTACACAAAGCAACAAATGCACCAAGTTTTGAGGTGTGGGTGTTTTGGTATTTTGGGTTTGGGTTTTTTGGGTTGGTTTGGTGTGGTTTTTTTGGTTTTTTTTGGTTTTTTTGTGTGTTTTTTTTGTTTTGTGTTTTTTTTGGTTTTTTTGTTTTTTTCGTTTTTTTGGTGTTTTGGGGGGGGGCTGAAGCCGAAAGATTTAAAATTAACCTCTCAAATAAAAATAGCAACTCGTCACTACATAATTGCAGAAACAGACAGATGTTTCAGTCACTAGTTGAGACTGCATTCTCCATGCATGCTGGACTTTGATATGCAAGGGGTGTAGACTGTATCCAGAAAGCGTATTTGTTTGTGGCATTTCTATGAGATAAGAACCCTGGGCTAGGAAGCGAAAGTCCTCTAGCAATATGGTGCATATACTGGATAAACAAAGACAAAATATTAATGGAAGACTGGAACAAGTGAGCAAGTTAGTAATTCAGACAGATGAAGGGTTTGCAGCAGGGAAAGGAAGATATGATAACATGGGCACAGATGAACGATCAACTAAAGGCATGGATGTGATTTATGAGGTTACTTTTACAATTGACAAAATTCCTAATACAGATCTAATTAATAGCATTTTTAATACTTTGCAAAGTCCAATCAGGTTATTCTAGTTCAAAGCAATGATGTGCTAAAGCTTGGACAACTGGCCCAAGCCAGAGTTGACCTATAGATGAATCCTGTATATTTTATAGCTGACAACCATTGTATTAGAAGGTATTGTACTAAACATGTTTATCCTAAATATATAGATATATGTATCATCTCCTTATCTTTCCTTGTGTATAGGCAAGATAACAGGGTCACAGAGACAGTTGTCTGGCCCTGTGACGTGGCATATGACCTTGCTCATAAATCAATTAGGTAAGCAGGGAAACTCCCTTAGTTTCTCCCTTGAGCCCTGGCCAGGCCCTGGGAGAATCTAATGTGAGAACAGAACCAGGTATTTTTTGCTTAAAACAAAGGTGCCAGCTATGCTGGCTAGCTAGTTTTAGGTATATAACGCTGGACCCGCTCACAGCGACTTTGGCAGCCTCACCTATGGGTGGACGCACCGCGTAGGATTTCCCCCTTGCCGGGACAGGCTCTCCAAACCCTCACTGCAACCGGGGCTGCCCAGCCACTGCGGGGCTGGATGTTTGTAACATATGCAAGTGGTGATGCATCTTTTCTTAATCACTATTTTCTCTCTCTCACCTAGTAATGATTTGATGCATTACCCTGTATTTTCCTATTTGTTTGCACTATTCTGTCTTTTCTTACTGTATGTTTTCTCTATTATTCTGTTACATTATTTAGTTATTTTAAGTAAAATACGCCTGCTCTTTTCACCCTGGCGTCTGAGTTTAATTGGTATCCTTAATCAGCAAAACAAGCAATCACTTTTTTTCAGAGTACAATTTGTAGGTGACTGCCTCCTAAAGGCCAAATGTGTTCTGTCAGTACTAACAGATACTTAACGTTTGTGGAAGTACACAACAAAAGCAGGTAGATTTATTAAATCAGAAACTCACTATGAAGCCAATTGCCAAATCATTTGTAAGACTGAAACATGTTCATCCACTAAAAGTCTTACCACAAATGAAAAACATTATAATACCAAAAAAAACCCCTAAACAACACTGTGGAAGACTGTGATGCACTTAAGATTCTTATGCAGTGTCCTAGCTCCTTTCCAACAAACCATTCACCCAATTCCTCATACAATCAACAGATCTCTGCACATTTGACTTTGCCATCATCACCACAAAGCAGCCAGCATTAAGGCTAGATTTTTTTTTTTTTCCTCCTACATCTTCTCCTAGGTTCTCCCACTAATAATAGCCCATTCCAACCGCTAGCTTAAGAGCATTGACTCTATTACCCCTCCAACTTATTAAGTCTGTGTGAAGCTGTCCTGGTTTCAGGGAGTGCCAGGGGTTTGGTAGAAAGGGAGAGGGCTACAGCAGTGGCCTGCTGTGAGACTTTTTGAAGCTCCCCTGGATCCCAGTTAGACCTACCTTTGCACCAAGTCCAGGGCAATTAGCTGCGCCTTTGTGGTAATTTATTTAAGAAGGGAGGAGTTGTGGGAGTTGTGAGAAGGTTGGAGAACATCTGTGCAAACACCACGCCGAACACCCACTGAGGTCAGTGGAAGAAAAGGGAGGGGTGGGGGGGAAGTGTCCTGGAGCAAAGGCTCCCCTGTAGCCCATGGTGAGGCAGCAGGGGCACTCCCCCTGCCGCCCATGGGGGTCTATGGTGGAGCAGATGCCAATTTGCAGCATGCAGGGGGCCTCACGTTGATCCAGGTGACTGTGCTTGAAAAAGGCCCTGCTGTTGTAGTTCAGTGCTGGGAGGACTGCAACATGTGGAGGGGACTCACAGGCCTGTGTGGAGTGACTCACGTCAATAGAGTTTGTGGAGGACTATCTCCTGTGAGAGGGTGATTGTGCTGGAACAGGGGAGGAATGACAGAAGTTCCCCCACCTCCCTGAGGTGGAAGAAGAGGCAGAACTGACTGCAGCCCTCATTCCCCACCCCCTGCACTGCTGGGGGGTAGGACACAGAGATACAGGGAGAAAAGCTGAGCCTGGGAAGAATGGAGGGGTGGGAGAAGGTGTTTTCAAGATGTGGGAATGCTTCTCACGGTTCTACTCTTTTATATGTTGGTTTTGTTAGTGTCTGTATTGCATTTATGTCCTTTTTTCTTCCCCTAACAAGTCTGTCTTTTGCTTGTGCTGTAATAAATGAGTTCCTCCCTTCCTGTCCTTGTCTTAATTTCCTGGGCCTTTTGCTTTCCCCCTTCCCAGCGCTTCTGGGGAAGAAGGGAATGAGTGGCTGCATGGCACTCAGTTGCCCCCTGAGCAAAAACTACAACAGAAACCAACTGAATTCTGTTGCAGACAGAAAGCAAAAGAGAAATTTGCCACTACTATGATTCATAGTAACATCTCCTGGACATGGGAAATAACATGGCCCAGTAAGTCATTCCACTGTTAAGGGAACCATTCAAAACCACTCCTTACCAGGATGAAGACGACACTGGCAGCATCAGATCATTTCTCTGTTTGGATCTCAGCCTGCCTGAGGTTGTGCACAAGCTCCTTCATTTACCAATATGTCATCACCTTCTTACCCTACAGCTATACACAGAAAACATATTGGCCACTTACCCTGTAGACCTCCTCAAGCAACAGCTTAGCACAATTCTGGCCAAGTTCCTCGGGAAGCACGGCTGCTCCCTGGCCCTGAGGGTTTGAGGCTAGCTCAGCACTGAGAATAGTGCCATTGATGGTTTCTGCTGTAAGGCACATGCCAAAACCTGGTGATCTGAAAGAAAGGGGAAAAGTGCATTTGATTTAAGGACAAAATGCACAAAATAAAGCAAGAACTACTTCCAGCCAACTTCCTTCTCAAGACACATGTTTGTCTCATAGGACAATTCTGGGAATCTGGACTGGCTGACAAGTTTTCTGTTCTATACATTTGATTCATCCTGGAAAGAAACATTAACAGTATTTAAAAGTTAAACCCAGTACACTGTCCCCAAACACACTGTGCTGTCTATTCCTGGCACAGACTCTTTTAAAAAAGCAAAAAAGGAAAGAAAAAAAACCCCAACGAAAACATCCAAACCTCATATATATGCTCCTCTATTAAAAAAAAAAAAGTAATCTTTCACATTTATTTAATTAATGTTTGAGGAACATTTCAAAGGTGTCTAGCGATTCTTCTCTGCAACATTCAAAACCAAAACTTTCTTTAGGGATTGAGCTCTTTCCCTGGAAGCTTCAATATTTAGCAAGATCAGACCACAGCCACGGCATCAAACAGGAGAATTAAAAAAAAAGTTTGATCCATATTACTTGTATTTCAAATAACTTCTTTTCATTTTCAGTTCAATAATATCCAAATCATCACAACTGTGTAAGAATTCTGAACATATGATTTAAAAAACCAAAAACAAACCCCTGTTTTCCTTAGAGCTTAGGATCCTACAAAATATTATTGTGAGAGTTAAGAAACACTTCTGCTACAAGAAAGTCACAGGTTTGAGTAAGTACACAGATGTAAGTACAGCTTGATGAGAAATCAGAAAGTTGTAAGGAAGGAAAAAAAGTCACAAGATCCTCTTCTTTATATGCTCTGGAAGACCACCAATAGCTAGCCATTCAAAATAAAGGTTAACAATTTTACTCCGCACACAGGATTTCTCACAGTTCTGGACTCCTGCTGCCTCCACCACCCAAACTTTTTAATTAAAATAGTCCCACTGACCCAAAACTGCAAGACATGTCACTGACATCAAATCACCAAAACAAACCCTGAATACCAATACACACAATCTCTCCCTGTGTCAGAAAACCAGCAGTTCCTCCAGATGCGTTTCAGTAGAGTGGTAACCAAAAGGTATTAGTGGTTTCCACCCATATTTAACTGCCTGCACTTGCTGAGCAACACAGAAGGCATGATAAAGATGTCTCCCTTCTCCTTTCCTTCCTCTGAAAAAGAGAGAGATCTGGACAGCAAGACAAGAACAGTGTCAAAGATGTTGTTATTTTTTGGACAAGTATCCTGTAGTAACTATAGCCAGTGGCAGATCTTAAGTGTTCAGTAGCATGTGGCAATCTGCGTCAATAAAAGTTACAATTATCCAGTGCTTCATGGATGTGCAGACAGTATTAGGAAACACCTGCACAGACAAACTTTTTGCTATAAATGGTCAAAAGAGAACCGGGAACTTTTTGTTTAGAGATACATTATAGGTGGCAAAAGATGCTCAAATAACGTATTTCCTGAAGCTTTTGGCACTGTGGAAGGGATATAGTTCCATGCTTTATATTCTGACATCAGGGCTTGGTTTGGCCTAAGCACAGATGGGCTGAACTAGTCATTGCTGGTCTTACTTATCACCAAAAGTGCTTTGGAAACAACAAAGCATACCGCTATCCTTTCTTGTCCTGCTGAGACACACATACACACAAGCACTGGGAACCAGGTAATAAAAAAAACCCAAACAACTTTGCCAAAGTGGCACAGTGTTAGCTATCAGGTATGCTGCAATCATGGGCAACATACTTAATGCTGAATGTGACAGCACAGCTGCATTAGAAAGCCACATGCACCAGGAAGGTGGAGAGAGATTCAGTTTCTCTTCCCATGCTATAGTTTATCTCTCTGCATGGGCTACCCATGCAAGTAGTAAATATAATGCTGCTGCCCCAATCCATTTGACTTTTTCACTTTATAGACAGATAAAAACAAAAGAGACTCCCAAAACCACAGAGGTCCCAGAAAATATTTTGCAATTGTGATCACTGTTAACAGCCTGGAGGCATAAGACTTACCAACCTGGGTTATTAAATGTGATGGATCAGAAAAGAGGAAAAATACTTCAAAAACTGTCAACAATTTTTAGATTTGTAAATTTACAAGTTTTCTTTAAGGTAATATTTCAAAAAGCAGAAACAGTGAAAGAAAATGTCCATGCTTGGATTTGAGCATACAGACAGAAGACCAACAAATTAAATATCCAGAACTTCATCAACCTCAACAAAAAGTGACAAGAGGACAACAAAGCTGACATATATCAGTGAAATTTTCTGAATCACATCCATCACTTCTGTGTTCTGCTGGCAAACAAAATGTGTGGAAGTACAGTAAACAAGTATCTCAATTTTCCAGTCCTCACTGCTGAAATGACAGTCCTTCAGCTATTTATGTAACAGTAAAGCGGAAGACAACCCACACAGCTCAAAACACTATGGTCTCATCCTTAATATTACCATTTCTGTCAGAAGGTGTACAGTCAGGTTTGTATGTTGGCTTTCACAATATATCATCTTAATCTCACTCTAAAATCTCACTCTCTGATCTTAATCTCACTTCAAAGCAACAGGTTTAAAACTGAAGAAGGTTAAAAGTTGCCTTTAGTAGCAGTAACTATGTATTACATTCCTTGTTTAAGAAAACACACAACTTCTACCCCTGTACCACTTATCTAGGGAATCTTTTTTTTTTTCCCCTGTAAGGAATATCTAAAATCAATGAAATAGAAAATCATGGTCTAGAACTCATTAAATTACAGATCAGAATTCTCTAGCACATGAACAAATGCAGAATCACATTTCTGTTCCCTGTCAATAATGGATACTCACTTTCCAGAGCTGACCCCCTTCATATGATCTGTGTAGATATAAATGTCTGGGAGGAATTTATTCAGGATGCTCCTTGCAGATTCCACCATTCTGTTTGCCATCTGTGGTGACACTCTGACAGAGTATCTACAGTTTCAAGCTAAGGAATTCATTGTAATCACAAAAGAAATTTAAACCAGAGACTGACAAAAGCAGCCAAGAGGTCCCAATGCATTATTTCAGAAAATGTGGTTTCGTCCTATACACCCATTCATGAGCACTGGTCCATTTTCCTGTTCTTATAAGCACATGTGCTTAAGCGCTTTCTACAGTCTTTTCACTGATGTACCTTGAAGTGAGGTACACAGAATACGTGCAGAACACTTTGTTATGACCAGGTAAACATCCATCTTAAAAATACCCTTCAAAAATTTTAAATTGCTGGTTTGCCATCCTGTGTTTTCTTATGATGTAGGAAATCCCATTTGCTCTGTTCTTTATATACTATCAAAAGATGGTGATGGGTGAAGTTTCTCTGAATTAGCAGTAAGAAATCCTGTCTGTCTCCTGTCAGTGAGAAATCAGGTAGATGAAATTAAATGTTTTAACAAAATAAAAAAGTAATTTTAAAAGGCTAAAAAAAATTAATCTTTGCTCTCTCCAACTATTCTGCAGTGCTGTGAGGCTATCTGGTTCACTGGTTCTCTAGACACTCGGCATCTGAAGGCAACAGTTCCAGGGAAGAAGGAATTACCACCCTCCTGCTCACCCCAACCCACCTCCTCACAGTACAGAAGAGATGAACTGACTTTGTGCCCTTTTACTCAAGTGCTTCTTCAGTGATGTTCCGAACAGATCTTCAAATGTACAAAGCACACTGTACTCCAAATTCCACCCCAACTACAACGCAGACTCATGCTCTGCACAATTAACCACCCATCTGCACATAGCAATGCAGCAAAACACAAACCTCCCAGCTCGCATTCTCATGTGGAATAGGTAAACCAAAAGCTTTAAGATCTTAAGGGCAAAACCAATAAATAATGATTGTTCTGCACAGTTGGTGCACTCAGTATTCTGGATGACTATAAAAGGTTACTAAACACAAGCTGTCCAGCTGTGAGGAAGCAGATTTGGTCAGCTGAATTCCAAAGGGACAAAAATGCACATATAAAAGACCTAAGTACTCATCCTTCCATATGTTTTGCCTTCTCCTGGCTTGAAGGACCACTTACTGGCTAAACTGAGACTTCCTCTCACCAGGCTTACTAAAGGCAAACCTTTATCCCTGAGAAAAAGCCCAGAAAAACCTGAAGGAAAGTGGAAATTCAAAAACCTGTAGTTCACATACACTGACCAAATCCAGTCAAAGTGGCCCAGAACAATGTTGGGTATTAACATCAACTTAGAAAGATGGCACTAAAGCCAGGATCATTGTTTCCTCCTTCACGCAGAAGCAGAGGACAGAATTACTGACTACAGAGGTGGAAGAGGGCATAAGGAAATTACTTTTTTCATGGAAAGACTGTGACAACCACCACCAAACCACAATGAGCTGCTTCCTTTTTATTCTACAGCATATGCACCCAGTAAAATTGCTGTCACTTGGCAATGCTGCACTCATCCAAATACTGCAGTTGGAACAGAGGTCAAAGTGTCCTGTTCTCACACACATTATGATGGCATGCCATAAAGTAAAAGGAGGAACAGACTGCAAGTCTGCACCTCTGGCAGGAAACCCACCCCCATTCCTGATTTCCTTGTGAGTAATCAAAGCCAGGTCACGTTTGGGACTTTATTAATCACAAATCAAACTACAAGTTGGCCAGTGCTCAAAAGAAAGCAGGAGCTCATGAAATATAACATTTAGTATACCTTGCTGGTAAGGGATTTGCCTCTTCTTCCCACTGTGACAGCAGATTTATGACAGATACCATATAAAAACCGCAAGAGAAGGAAAAAAACTCCTCAAAAACATTAATTAGATGTGCAGTTCTGCTTGCCAATGTGAGTACACCACAACAGTAATTTCTGCCCTTATCTCTGTGTGGAAGTAAAACCTCCTCTACTTCCATCTCCAATGGTAACGCTAAAGGTCAAAAGCTAACAAACGTTTTTTCATAAGGCAACAAAAAGCTAAGTTTACATGTGTGCAGTGAGCTGTACACTGAACTCAGATTTAAGCTCCCATCTAACATTCTGCTAGACCCATTAACAGCCAAGATGCCACAAAATACATTTGTTAACTATTGGATTTACACACAAGGTAAGATCCCTTTTAGTGCTGCTACATTATGTGATGGAATGTATTTTAACTTTTTCTTGCTATTGAAAAGATTTTAAATAGTGATGTTCAGTTTTATTTACTTGTTTACTGATGCTTTTTGAACAGAGATGTTCTGAATGCAGCAGTTTTGATCTGAAAATCCTGAAATCTAGTTTCATAATCACTCTGTGTGACATCACTGTGTTATCTGAATACACGCTCAGCAACATAGGTGCACTTCTGCAAACTCAAGTTGGGAGGCTTATTTTTTTAAGGCAAACTCATTTAAAAGAAAAAAAACCCAAAGAAACAAAAAAGGGATACGCAGTTCCTCTGATGCGCTTGATTTTGCCCGGGTCTGTGAAATGAATAGGCTGCAAGACCCTTCTCACTGGGCAAGCAAACAGTATCTCTCCACCCCCTTTGGGAGGCATTCCTCTCCGGTTGATCTAGACAGTAATGGAGGAAAAATCAGGTTAGTAAAGATCACAAAGAATGTACATACACATTCAAAAACGATTAGCATTTGTTCTGCATACAGTAAAATGCTATCAGTAGGGGTATCATGCAAACACAGGTGAGAATAAGACATCCTAAAGGAGAAATAATTTTGCACCAAATCTATCAGCAAAAATTGATTTCTTTTTTCCTCCTCTCTCAAGTACAGTAGGGCATCACTTCTCAATGGGAAACAAAACAAAACCAAATGAACCAATTAAAAAAACAAGATTTTTACCAGGAAGGCAACCCTGGCTTAAGACTGGTCTTTAATAACAAAGCTGTACCTCACTGATGAAGAAAGTCTGGAAGTGTTTGATGCTTAGTACGTATATGGCAGACCAGAATGAACTCATTCATACAAACAGGCCTGGCCAGCCTTACCCTGTCCCACTGTCCCAGCCAATGTCCACAAGGATGGGGATGGGACATGGACCCACAGGTGGGTCTGGGTCAGGGGGCCCATGGCCAGGTAGGGCAGGGCTGTGAGGAGATGTGAGACTGGCCATGCTGCAGGGTCAATGGTGCAGGGGCTGACAGTCCCACAGTGATGACTCAGGTGTCCAGGGCCCTGGGCAGGGTGGGGAAAGGCACCGGGGAAGGGCTTGGTAGAGCAAGCAAAGATTAGTAGTGCAGCTAGGGCTTTCACACATTTTAAATGGAGCATTCTTAACTTTGAAAGTTAGTTTCTTTCTCCAACCTAAAGGAAATCTATTCTACATACAGATTTATAGGGCCTGTGAAGAGTGTAGTCTTTAAAGAAAAGTTTCTTTCCTGTATTTTCCAAACTAGAAGCAAACCTCAGTCACCCAAACACAGGTCCAGCTCCTCTACCGGTGAAGAAGGCAAAAGATTCCACTATTACTCCCTAGCCCTAAGCATGGGGCTGGAAGAACAAGTGGAAGGGAAAAGAAAGTAAATGAACTGAAGAAGAACAAGAAAGTAAAAAGGTTTCTTAGCTTGCAGAAATCTTGGAGACTAAGACAAGTCACTACTTTCTCCTTACCCTCTCTACACATAGCCTCTGCATTTCTCTTCTAACACATCTTCAATCACTGTGTGGCTGGTATGCCAGTTAAAACATGTCAAGAACAAGAGACAATTTTAGAAATATGTGTAGCTACAACTACATATCTGCTGGAGACAGATACCAGCAGCAAGCATATGGCCTTGTGAAGCAGTGAAAAATTATCATTTCAACATGGGCTAGAAAATAAAGGAATAAGTTGTCTTACCTTGATTTCCAGACTTTCACCATCCACTCCAAACTTCTTCAGTAGGGGTAGAGCTGTTACCTTAAGGACATCAACCTATAGAACACAGAATTTAAAAGGCAGACTCCTTACTGAAGTTCCCTAAGTCAGTAATTTAAAAATAACTGCATTTTGGAGGTACCTAACCAAGATAAGGCTTCTCCATAATAGGTATTCTATGGGAAGACATGAGAATGAGTAGAGAGCTACAGCTTCTCTTAGGCTACCACAGTATCTCATTACTCAAAAAAATTGCTAGAACAAATAACTGAGACAGCCTTCTATTCTAGATTTTATTTCTCAGCCTGATTTTTACTTCTATAATATTATGGTTCAGCTAAAACAGCTCATCTGTTTCTCTGAACACAGTTATTGAAAAAATTATATTCTTCTGTCATTGTTAAAAAATCCCTACAGCTAAGTAAATGATGACTGCATGAACTTCTGCTTTTTGGAGTGGGCCCTTGATCTGGCAGGAAGAAACTCATCCTTCTATCAAGAACTTCTTTCATCTGTTTCTGAGAAAGAGAAGCTTCTAGGTAACTTATGTTGAAACACTCAGAAGAATCTGAAGGGACAGACACATCGTCCATGTATTCTCTTTGAGCCACATGCTGAGCAGATCCAGGTCTGAGTAGGATTTTCCTTGCCACTGCCCCTCCTAATCACTGGCCTAAACCAACCACTGTGCCTTCTCCCCTCTGCTGAAACTTCAGTAGCATTGGCTAAAGTGATAATCATTTAGCAGCGCAACAGCACATGGAGTTACCCAAAATAAGCATCCTGGGAGAGACAGGACCAGAACAGCACGACCAAAGAGGAACTGAAGTCTTGTGAACAAAACAGGCATGCAGTAGACAGCAGTTTAGGAGGCAGAAAAAAAACACCCTCCTTCCCATGCCTTCAGACAGAATCCACAGTTTCTGAGTTTCATTCTCTCTGCTTTGCAGAGAGTGCAAGCCACTGATGAAGTAGTAGCACCTATAAAGCTGTGAAGGACCTGCTAGATCTATCTGAGTAGCTACAGGTGTATGCTGCAGTTCTCATTCTTCAAATCCTGCTGGCCAACATACTTCTTTTCTTAAGGAAAGTCATTTGGTGTTGTTTTTAATGGTAATATCAACATTTCAATGTCTTCATTAAAAAAAACCTGTGAGTCAATGATTAATTTTTTGTATTTATATATCTTATGTTTTTTACAGCCAGGCTACCTTAATTTGTCCCCTCAGTAGTATTTGTTAATCACACAAATTTGTCTTTTAGAGCAAAAATCTTTAACAACATGCACATGCACACACATAGACACATGTGAATAGCACTGGCAGATCTAGTTCACATTAACATTACACATTATTTCTCCCTCTTTTTTATGAAACAAAATATACCAGTAGAAAAAGAAAAGCTTCACTGTGTAGGTTAGGAACTACCTTTCTCTCCTCTATGTCCGCTTCCGAAATTCTTTGGACTGAAATCTGTATCTCTGGAAAAAAACATGTTATGCCAGCACTATGAAGCCAGAAAAATTTTGATTCTCATTTGTGTGTTTTCAAGAATTTCAAGTCGTCTTAGTTTTTGTCCTCAGGCAAATTCCAGGCAGGATACTTATCACATAATAAGAGATTGCCTCTGTTCCAAACTTGGGAGGCTAAATAGAGAAGGTAATTGGTGGTATTTGACGAAGTGGAAAAGGTTCTTATGCTTAGCTGATGATCGGGAGTTCAGGCAGAAGAGGTTAAGTACTTCACTGGAAATCACAAAATGGTAGCAGAACTGATACCTAAAACTATTTTCTAGCCTCTTGCCTACAATCAGCCATAAAACCATCTTTCAGCTCCCCTTGAAGAGCAGTTATTCCGTCTCCAGAGCAGATAACACAACACCAAGTTGTACCAAAGCAAATGTACCATACCAAGTGCACACCTCACCACAAATGCCAACAACTTGCTAAGATCCACAGTCATTTCTTGATCAAAATCTAGTGTAAATATAAACCTCTTTCTTTTAAAGCAGTCTACAACAGCTAGGAAAAAAAAGTAATTTTTAGTGGTTTGCAGAATCCCTTAGCTAGTCAAAAACTGCAAAAAAAACAAAGACCCTACAGCATATGGCTATCTAGGAAAGGGGCATTAGCTGGCCTGCACAGCCATTAGCACTGCACAGAAGAGCATTTATCCTTGCCATACATACAGTGTTATGTTTTGGGAACAAGGACTTAGACTTGTGATGGGGGCAAGAGTGAAACCAGAGTTTAGCAAGGGAAAAAAAAAAAAAAAAAAAAAAAAGGAAAAGTCAGTAGGAAAAGTTTCTTGTCTTCCTGGCATTACAGTCAACTGCTGAATTTCCATTAACACTATAGATTATTCCTCCCAAACCAAAATTATGTATGCTAGTCTCACACCAGCAAGAAAGTCATTTCAGTTGAAAGTCCCATGATATAGCTCTAAAAAAACTTCAACACTTGCAAACCCAAACTTTAAGAACAATTATGCTAAAACCAGGTTACTGCAGTCACCAGGTTACTTAGCGTATCTGTCAGAACAACAACATGCTGTTGTGGTTTGAACTCAGTTGGCAGCCAATCACCATGTGGCCAGCTGTTTACTTTCCTGCCCCTCCTTCCAGTGAAATAGGGGAGGGACAAAAGAAGAAATTCATAGGTTAAAGAAAAAAAATTCAGTAACAATAGTAAGTCCAAAACAGGTAAAATGCAGCAGTGGCTTACTGAGCGTGGTAACAGGAACACAGCCCACCCACCGCCCCCAGCAGCTATCCAACCACACGAGAAAATCCCTCCACACTGACCTGGAAACCAAAAACAGGGCATAAAAGTGCACACGTCTGCCTATATACTGAGCATGACGTCACATGCTATGGAATACTCCAATGTCTGATCCAGGCCCAGCCCTCTAGCTGTGCTCCCTCTGAGCCCAAGGAAAGTTAACTCTATCCTGTCCAAAACCAGGACAGTCTCTACCTTTATTCCATACCTTTGACATCGTGCTCAGGTTTCAAATACATTCTAAAGAATCATCACCCCTTTTCCCAGGTCTCACATATATCATTCCCTCATATTACGAGCCATCCTTCCAAAATGTTTACTGAGTTAATTTAGTCCATAACTTTGGGTTCCACTGTCATTACAGTCTAAGGCTGGAGGAATGAGCTGGAGTCAGCTAAGTCACTGGAGCAGGAGGCTGTGGATGTGGCAGGAGGATTTTGCAAGGTATGAATTGCAATAAAAAGGTTATTTGACAATTCAATTAATTAGCAATTTTCACCTAAAATCAAATCTCCTTGAGGCACACATCAGACTTCTCTGTCCTTCTTCTGCATTAGCTACCAAGTACACCCAGGTTCCGGGGAAAGAGTAATCCCACACATGGGTTTACCTTTATCTAATGCAGGAATAACCCAGGTGGTCTTCCCCAGCATATTTTTAATGCACAGTACAGGGGCTTTATCCCCATCTACAGTACGTAGGTTTGACTGAGCAGGGCCAGCTTACTTGGCAGATCCTCTGGGATTCTGGCTTCCGCTAAATGCACGTCCCAGTGTTTGAAAGTTCCACCACCCATTGCTCTCAGTGTAGTTTTTAGGAAACCATTGTATTGCTCAATTTCCCCAGAAAATGGTGCATGGTAGGGAATGGGATATATCCACTCCATGCCATGTTCTTTGGCCCAGGTGTCTATGAGGTGGTTTTGGAAGTGTGTCCCATTATCTGACCCAATCCTTTCTGGCGTCCCATGCCGCCATTAGACTTTCTCCTCAAGGCCTACAATGGTGTTCTGGGCAGCAGCATGTGACACAGCCTGAGTTTCCAACCAACCAGTGGCTGCTTCCACCATTGTAAGCACATAGTGTTTGCCTTGCTGAGTTTGTGGGAGCATGATATAATCAATCTGCCAGGCCTCCCCTTGTTTATATTTTAACCATCATCCTCCATACCAAATGGGCTTTAACCATTTGGCTTGCTTGATCGTAGCACATGTCTCACATTCATGGATTACACAGCTGCCTTCCACCTTCAATATTTCCCCACAATGCGACAGGACCCGGCGGTAAACAGGGCATATCGCTTCTCGTTATCCAGTAGTTTATTATAAGGAGGGGCCTCTTCGGCATGTGCTACCTCTTCCTCTGGTGCCATTCCAAAATCTTTGCTTTCTGTTCAAGTTGTGATCACTTCCAATATCCCCGGACGGCTGGGGCTCCCTATTTGAGCCCATTGTGTGATAAGTGCCACCCATTTACTCCACATGGCATCAGTTACATGGTGTGTAGAGGGGACACTCTCTTTGAACACCCAGCCCAGCACAGGCAGTCGGGGTGCCAGGAGGAGCTGTGCTTCAGTCCCCATCACCTCTGAGGCAGCTCGAACCCCTCCATATGCTGCCAGTATCT